AAAAAACTTTACATTAAGTGAAAACCGACGGAACCTGTGATCTTTGAACCCTTTAATATAGCAATTTGAATATATGATAATATTTCGGCAACAGCTCAGGAGTCTACGTCCGATTCAAACATTTTATCTCCGTTCTTGGAACTTGTCATGACAAATTAAAAGTCTTGGTTCTCCCCACCAATCATGTAAGTTTTATAGCAGGTAGTCTACATGTGCTATCATAAATACATAGAAAAGGAACTACGGGAAATCATTGGGGGTAAACCTGGATGAGACTCCAATAAAGGTAAAATGTATTGTTATCCTGGGAATTGGTCAATGTTTAATGCCATAAAAAATAACAAAACTGGCCCTTATCCTTTGATTTTATTTTGAAATATTCCAGAAAAGAAACTGTGGTTTTGAGAGTGAAACATTTTGTCTTCGAATGTATCTAAACCACATGTAAGCTCTGAATATTACCCGATTCTCTTTGTCTGTTCATTTCTATATACTATAACGTCAACATACAGACTTCCAACATCAAATGTAATTTTACATATTGAAACACTGCACTCAGTCAATCAGTAATACTATTGTAACAACACAATGGACAAAATAAAAAAGAACTATCTCTACTATAATTAATTTAAGAAATATTTATTGATAACAACCTTAAACCTCAATTTTCAAACAAAGCAATAAGTGACGAGTTAAGTTAAAGTACATATGAACTTGCATTTAAAATATGTGTATCACCAATGTGTCGTGTTTCTATTAAATTGCTTCTTCTATAATAAATCTGCTGTGGTAATAAGAAAGAAGAGAGTTATTCTTGGAATTCGTTAGATATGTAACTTTACAATTATGAGTTTTTGAAGAGGATGACATGTGTTTTATGTGTCTGGTAAATGTTTCAACATTTGTACCGTTACTAGGTTCATAAAAATCCAATTTCAGCGAAGCGAAAGTCAACATTTGTAAACAAGCCTCATCGTGAAACTGTGAAGATTTATTGTGTCAAACACTCTTACATATATATGGTGATTGAAGAAGAGTTGCGAATGTCAGTGTAGTGTAGAAGAGTTGCGAATGTCAGTGCATGTAAAAGACTGAAGTACTGCTATTTATTAAATACATGTTTATATTCCTCTTTTGTTTTCAGCGTTTCGAACAGAAAAACAAAAGTGAGTTAAATACATGTCGCTTTTGCCGATTTTTTATTCTCGCCAAAATAAAGCTTATACTTATACTGTCCGTGTATTTCACATATGGTATCTGTTGAAATGGATTCTAATAATAAATTTCTGTATACGAGGAGCAGAATAGAGAGGGAATGAGAAGCAGAAAATCACGATCTATCAACTGTTTTGAAGAAAGGAGAGAGGAATTCATTGCTTAAGACATTTATTTATAGTGCTTGCCAAAATGAATTTAATCGACATAATACCTTTTTGAAGTAACATTTCATCTTAAACGCCGATTCGATTCACGCGAACTTAAAGTCTTCTGACCTATGAAATATCCAAACCCCACTGCGATCAGGTAACCTAATGAATGAATTCACAGCCATAAGTACTGCAAAATATACTAGTATAAATATCAGTGGTACAGTTGAATAAAGTTTTTCATATTCGTCTATAAGCCCAATATCAGAATAATTTTATACAGTATCATGAAGTTTGATTCGAAAAAACAATCAAATGGTGCCCTACAAAAAAAGTACGATGAGATTAAGACAATGTGTTCCGCAAGGGTGAGCGTATTCTGCTTCATCGACGATATAGATTAATGTACCAACAACCTGGTAACATTTTCATTTTTTTTTTAAATTTTCGTGTGTTTATTTTGTTTCACCTTTGTCGTTTTCCATCGTTTAACATTTTCAAATTACTCTAAAGATCATAAAAATTCAATGTCTGAGTTTTAAGTTTTCCCGTTCTTTGCAAGAGTATGTACAATGCATGTTTCGGCAAACCGCATTGGAATAAGACATGCTGACAAACCGTGGGAGGTATTCTGACGTTAATGTGCTTTTTAGGCCATCAACTAGCCTTAAAATGCTTGATTTGAAATGCCACTCGGTTCAGCGTTCCGTAAAGAACAGACAAATTCAACCTTGTAGACGTCAGTTGGAATAACTTTCTCCATTTATTCTCCATGTTCAAACGGACAAACCGAAGCAGCTTTAACTAACAGAAGAAAAATTACACCCCAACGTCGTAACAGGATACAATCTCAACTCAATTCCGAGGTAGAAATCTTCTGTATGAAGTATGTGGTTAGTACATATTTAACCCACTCAAACTTACCTTTATTGCCAGTAACAATTGACGTTTCATTATCAATTAATACATACGAGATATTGAATATTTCTGGTTTCAATGTTGACTTAATTGGATTGCCATATTTCCTATATTTAATAGAAAACAATTTCAAGGAATTATATCTATCACAGAAAGGTCATCCCTCCCTCTAAAAAACAAACAAAAATAAAGCACGAGACTGGAAATGAGGGCACTGTTTTTTGTGTGAAATCAGTACTGCCGATGATAAATTATCTATGTTTTTAGTTGATTATATATATATCATCATCATGAGTTAACGCAGTTTAAATAGCAGTATTGATATTGGTGGTAAACCTTTCACATCATGAAGATTGTACTCAACTCACAAGAACACTGTTTCCCTAAATGTAAAATAAGGAATATGCTATACAGAAGTTTTCATAATTAAAAAAATGATTTAATACATAGATTCGAAAAAACAGCAAAAAAAAAAAAAAAAAAAAAAAAATCATAAAAAAAACGTTAAAAACCAAAAAACCAAAAAATTATATATATAAAAAAAATCACAAAAAAAAAAAAAAAAAAAATGGGAAAAGGGGGAAACTTTATTAAAGACCAGCATTTTTTATGACTTTCAAAAATAATTCAATTGGCTATTACATCAGCGATTTAAATATCAAGATGTTGTTATCAGCCGTTTTGCAAACATAAAATTCCTCTGAAATCACACCACCGTATACTTTACAAAACACATTTCGTATTCGGACAGTGTTATTTAAATTTGATTTGTAATTTTAAAAACAAATTCAGTGTAATATGATATAATACTGTCAGATACGTTTCACCTTAGCTTTAAACCCTTCACGGACACCTGTTGACTGTCAGATAATGGACTGTCCTCCAGTTGTTTCGTAGGCTTCGCCATCTAAAATGGCAAACAAGGATTTGACGTTGACATTTTGATATTTATGAAAATATTATTTGAATAGTATCAGGGACGTTATAATGCACAATACTTCCCTGATAGTATTGAAGAGAGAACCTCAGTTTTGTGCATCTAAATTACAGTTTAAAGAGAAAGAATTGATGGGATTAAGGTTTTGGTATAGAAAGAAAAATGTTACGAGTTTCATTTAAGATGTCGACAACTGACAAGTAAGTTCACAATAGAGTTTAGAGATATACAGGTTGATGAAAATTATGTAGATGTTTTATTATTACGAAATTTATTAAATCATGGGGCTGCTGCACTTCCTCGTCTAGAATTTGACTTTTCTTTCGATCAATTTGGATTTTCAGTTGTCGCCTCTTAAGCTTCAAATTTTAGGCCCTTAGCTTCATTGACGAGTCCTATAAGGACGAAACACCTGTGTGATACAATTTAATTTAATGTTTATCTCTATTGTATCTCACTCTCAATAATTAAAATGTGCTTATTCACTTGTGTGTCTTTTGTACAATCTTATATAACCATCACACCGCCCTCATTTTGAAACTTCTTTCCTAGCTCGATATGAATGCGGACATGTGTGATGACGTCAGAATGCCTGGTGGTACCGTCGTTTTCAATAAAAACACATGGATATGCATCATAGAAAATGTGGTGATACTTTGAAGTAGAAATTAAAACTTAATTGATGGATGGCTGGGTGTAACATTATGTCTGAGGACGTTGCTCGTGTGATTTATAAACTAAAACAATTATGTCCTGTGTATGAATCAATGGTATTGATGAATCTGAAATGTTCCTCATTCTCTCAAGTCAATGAACAGTGTTGATGTGTGAATTGTAGCAAGGATATATAATAGTGTCTTCAGAAATAACTCGTGAAAGATACTACAATATTAGACATACCTGTTAAATATTTTATAAATACTGGAGACACTATCGAAGGTTCCGTTTATTACATTTTCACAAGCAAAATGACAAAATTACTGGCATATCTAGAACAGATGTAAAAGGATTAAGCTAACTAGGCTTTTCGCGGACACTATTATAACTTTTCAGTACTCGACAGCATATCAAAGAGGTATATGTCTATATTTCATTGGCTAAAATATGATTAAAACAACTATCATACAATAACTAAACATATTATATGCTGTAGACACATTTTTCTGTATACAATATAATGAGTTTTTCTGTACATGATAGCATGTGTTGGACTGCAACATGTAATATTAATAATACTGAACTCTTAAAATTGATCAGATTAAAAAATAAATCATTTTATTGTTTTAATTTGAGTATGTAATAGTTATACTGAAATATGTACAAATTATGTTAGAAAAAATATTAGCAACATAACATGTATTACTATACAAGTATAATTATCTACAAACTGATCACAATATTATTGTACAATTATCATCATCTACAAACTGATCACAATATTATTGTACAATTATCATCATCTACAAACTGATCACAATAGTATTGTACAATTATCATCATCTACAAACTGATCACAATATTATTGTACAATTATCATCATCTACAAACTGATCACAATATTATTGTACAATTATCATCATCTACAAACTGATCACAATATTATTGTACAATTATCATCATCTACAAACTGATCACAATATTATTGTACAATTATCATACTCTACAAACTGATCACAATATTATTGTACAATTATCATCATCTACAAACTGATCACAATATTATTGTACAATTATCATCATCTACAAACTGATCACAATAGTATTGTACAATTATCATCATCTACAAACTACTCACAATATTATTGTACAATTATCATTATCTACAAACTGATCACCACATTACTGTACAATTATCATTATCTACAAACTGATCACCACATTACTGTACAATTATAATGATAAAGGCACAAGGTTTTGCTGATCTTAATTCATTAAGCACTTTTAAATATGAACCAAATAGAAAAAAATAATAAAAGGAACTAATATACTGTTCTTCTAAGACTCCTTCAAATTTTGAACAAAAATAACAGATAAATAAAGAAACGTACACGACATGGAAGATAATGTTATTAACAAGGAGTTTAATTAGTTTGATTGTTGATGTATCTTGAACATCTTTAAAGAATACAAATTCGGGGTGTGTATGCCAAACTCGTGCCAGTGTTCGTAAGAATTTTAAACAAATCATAATATCTATCTAGATGTCGTTATGAATGGTTAGCTTGGTGTATTACTGGAGATATACAAAAAATGTATATAATCAATGATGGATGTACAGGGGAAATTATGAAATTGGGCCGACAAGACACGGGAAGTGAGCTGAGTGGAGATGTTCATAATGAGATGTCAGCGGGGAAAGTTCACTGTAACGTAGCCAGGCGTTTCCTGTTGGCGCTTAGGTAGTGAAAATCTGAGCGACAGTACAAGTAATCTAAAAGGCTTTGCCTTGCATGAAGAAATGCAAATATTAGCGAAAACTAAGCACTTGTTTCCCAATCAGCTCAACTGAACAAACAAACAGTAGAGCGCCAGGGAAACTTTATACTGATTAAAGCATGGCACAGAAAGTAGGAGATTTCACGGAGTCTGAAAGAAAACCTGTCTGTACACGGGTCTTGATTAGTGATGTTATTCTCTATCGGTTAGTGTTTCGTTTTCTTGTTTGTAAAACATATGTTGGAGTTTAAAGGTCTGCAAAAACATATGTTTATTCTACTGTTTCTACAATACATCTCTCTCGGCGTGTCGGCCCACATAATTGGCTCTGAAAGACGAGTCCGCCATCTTTGTATCAGGACCATGAGAATACGGATGTACGACGCTGGTTTCCTTAGTAAAGTGGCCAAGCCTGGATTTACTGGTCCCTGTTAAAACAACCGGCCCTGATCCCTTTTCGGCGGTTTTCACTTTGATCTCTGGATTTTATCTTCCAAGATACACTCTCATCAGAATCGGGGTGAACTGAGTGTATTTTTTTATAATGCAGAATGTTGATAATATTGTGTAAAAATGAATAAAGATTTAGGATTCAGATACTACAGCAAATATTCTGTTTCTGAACAACGAAGTTAGAATTACGTGAATGACGAGTACTCTTTTAAGACTTTGAAGAATCTGGTAGTAAACATACATTGTGGCATTCATAATTTTGACATCAATCTTTTACCACGCCTTCCAAACTAAGTAAAAAACAATTGTACGCGTCCTGTTTCTGTGCTGATGGGCCTTTAGTAAATGAAAAATAAAAAAACTGAAACCATCGTTGTCGAATCTAAATCTGTTTTCTGATTTTCTAACATGTTGTTGCATATTTCTGTATAGATGAAATATCGATGAACAATGACTTATAACCACGTGGCGCTGACCACCTTCTATGACATATTGTTTATTTCGTACATGTGTTATACCAAAGTCTAACTCAGTATCTCAAATCTTTATCGACACACATGTATACGGCACATATCTCTGTTCTCTGTGTTGTGGTTGGTTGACGTTTCTCAAGAAAACAAAATGAAATTTTAAAAGGACGGATTTGTTTTACAACACAAACCTCTTGTCCAAATAACAATAAAAACTTGGAATTTGAAGAATGATTATTCTAAATTCTCTCTTAGTGATAAAAAATCTTTATAAATCATGATAAAGATGTTTGTCTTTCTTCTCCTCTGTTAAAAAACCTTTTTAATCATGTAGCTTGAATTTGCTCTAACACACATCGCATGGCAGTCTTGATATGTTCTCTTGAGTGTTTAGAATCAGACGTACATCTGTTTTACTAGCTTGATAAACACCAAACACAGGCCACAGTGCCTGCTGGTCATCCACATCTATGAATGTATATATTTTCCTGTTCATACCAATGTCAAACACAGAAATAATCCTGGCCACTCTGTTTATGTAGAATCCAAGTTTCAAGTTTTTTTCTGTCCCGGAATTGGCGTTACTGAGAGTTTCATTGTACACGATAGAGCCTCCATTACTTTTGAAAAAGAGTTTGACACCCTCTCTACCAGAATTATGCGCGCTGATAGACCAAGCCCCATTTTGCCGACCGACATAGTGACTTTTCCCAATCGCTTTTTCTGTTGCAAATGCTACCTCAAAAACCAAATTAGTTGAGGATAAATTTGCTTCTATTCGGTAAAAGATATCAGCTTCGAAGAATATTTTGTCTGTGTTTGTAAACACGATGGAACCGCGTGCTCCTTGGTGCTTTCGTGCAGTCCCTACTGGCCATTCGTAGGACGTGTTCATTCGTCTATTGGTCAGTGTCAGTTTATCACTGGACAGGTATGCCTTCTGCGTATTCAGAGTAGCCGGATCCATGTAAAATCGGGGACCTGAAGACAAAATTTTTATACACTGTAACAGTCTCTCAGAATGATTGGTGGTTGTCACATGTGTGATTATATAGTACTTTCTCTTGTTTAAACACGTAGTTTTACATAAACAACAAATAAGTAGTAGTCATATTACTACATTATGTTTATATTGTTGTGCTTGAGATGTTGACATAAAGGAATGGTGCTGATAATTTTTTTTGCGTCTTTTTGTCGCGAAAATTTGTCAGCACAGACAGGCTAACTTCTCAACTTATCTTATGCGTCTATTGTAACCCAAACCAAACCATAACACGCACTCTCTACCGACCAAAGGATGACAATAGAGTCTAGACATGGTTGACGCGTCCATGATTGATATAGTTTGAAGACAATGAAGAACTTAAGACAATCAAAGAGGAGGTAATGGAAAGTACCTACATAAAGGGTGATGCATTTTAAAGGTGCTACGACAGCACATATTCTACACCGTGGCTTCTGAAATGTTTGATATACTCTATTCAATATTTATGAAAACTCTGATTTCAAAACAGTTCCCTCATAAGAATGAAACAACACACCAAGATAAAAAATTCCAAACTTTTCTGGAACTGGTAGAAAGTGACTTATACCTACAGAATAACATTTCGATCAGGCTCTTTCTGAACACAGTAATTTTTATAGCAGCAAACGAGCTTCAGAAATAATTTACATAAAAGTGACGAGACAATTTTTATAAGAGTTGATACTGTGTCTAGTCTCGTGACGGTGTTAAGCAGTTTCCATTCTTTACAACAAGCTCTCTCAATAGCAGATATAACTGTACCTAAGCGTGACTCTGATTTAGCGAATGGAAGCTTGAATTTCTTTGTTTTTTCCTACGGTAGACATAACAGTTTCCGCGAAAATTAAGCACTCAGCATTTAGAGGTAGAGTACCATCTTACAGAATAATTATTTGCAGTATCTAATAGAATTTGCAATGCCTTTGAACTGTAGCAATTAAGGCAATATCGTCTGCTAGGCACGGATTACAGCATTTGATTGTAACGTAATATGACGTGTTATTACGGACTCAGATAAAAGTAATAAAATAACAAATGATCTAAAATTGATATTAAATCTATACTATCTCTTTTTCTCTTCTTTTCTCTCTATCCTATCATCTCATCTTTTCCTCCTTTTGACAAAATGATTTAAACTTACAATTGTACGTCTACGGATTACTTATCTCCATATCTATAATATAAATATGCCACGTGCAGTATGTTAATTATTTGTAATTTCAAGAGTTCATAAGTTGCTAGAACTTGTCTCTGATCCATTTATCTTGTACTGATAATGAAATATGTTTGAATCAATACAAGATGTATTAAGAAACGAAGTAAATTATTACTATTTTTGTTTAAAGTTCTCTTTTGTAGACACGTGCAGGCTAAAAGGCGCCGCCAAACAACTTAGTCCTCTTTGGAAAGCCTGTTGTTGGTTATGAGGAAATGCAGTAGTTAGGTAGTCGTATTATCGCCTTTTCCATCAGTATATACGAGACCGGAAAAGCGATATCGGTCTATATCTATTTGAATACTAAAATTTCAGTCCATCTGACGTGTAAAGATGACCTATCTGTACAGTTATAGAGCCTCTTTTGATAACAACTGAGAACATTTAACCAAACTTGTCAACAAATTATAATTAGGGGAAAGGAATCTATCTGTGAAAAAGGGGAGTCCCTGTTCCTCGACGGTGATTGAGTTATCGGACCCAAAAAGGGTAATTTTCTCATATTTAAAAAATCTTTTGTTCTATAAATGCCATTTATTCATTTATAGTAGATAATTTAAGCCAGGTCCCTGGGTCCTCTAGGGTAGGGGTCACATTTACTTTAGGGTATTTTGAAAAAAGCTGAGAAACCTATTATTTCTTTACTAATTTGAAACGTTAAATTGCTAGAAAATAACGACACATTCCAGTTTTTTCCAGACATATGACGCTACCCTAAGGGCAGAACTGATTCCGTTTCGTCAACATTTCTATCATGTCTTTTTGCAAAGTTGAATTCTCTGAAAAGAGCAATGGTACCCCAGAAGAAGAGATCATAACACTTACACTGGAGGTCCCGGATTACGCAGGATTTTGACGTGGGACAGCCGTTCGTCCTTTCTGTTCAAATATGAAATAATAAGTTTAGTATGAGGAGTCACTTTGACCGATATACAACATACTTTACAAGTACTTATTATGCCAGGTATTAAAACTATAAAGAAACCGTAATTAGCGCATTCCTGTTTTAGCGCAGTATCGTAAGCGCAGTAATCGTTAGCGCAGTAGCTTTAGCGCCAAAAGCGCTAAATATGATATCGCTCAGAGGCTTTAAAGATTTCAGGATTCAATTCACTGACACAGATTGAAAAGAAACGGGTTCGGCACATACAAGAAGGTATGGTTAATACCAAACACTAGATACAGAAATGTAAACAAACTTATGTAGTGGTTCTTGTAAATGAGTATAAGAACAGGTTTTCAAAACTGGTAAATTACCAAACGTATTTTAATTCATCGACAACGCCCATCATTTATACCTAGATGCAATGTAGAGTCTGTGATTGGTCACGTCTTCAATGTAGAAACCAAACAATCTCACAACGAAACCAAAAATAATGAAAAAAACAACGACCGTGATATCGTATAATGGCTAAAGAGGTATTCATCTACTACAATATTATATACTTTATGATTGATGCTAACCATCTAGCATCGTATGAATTGATCAATCTTACACAGGTAGAAAGTCGTAGTGTCAGGAGGTCGAGCTTCGTTATCTCGAACCTGGCGGGACCACGGGGAAATTTCGAAGTTATAGAGTATTCGATTGAAGTTAGTTCGAATGATTTGTGTAAAGTTTGACAGAGACTGGTGAAATACTTCGGAATAACACGGCGTCTTCGAGTCACATGAGGTAAAGATGGTGAGATTCGACTGTATAAACTGTAAACATAAAACCAGCCTGAAGATGTTCATCAAACCTGGTAAACTTTATCACTATGACACAGTATGTTATCCTCAACAATATTTACATTTCATTCATGTATGATGTCTTGATAACAATATCTAATTTTATGATTTCAAACGTTTTAATAACCATATAAAATAGTTCCATATGGCTTCGCATTACTACAACGTCATTTTTGGACATTCACTTCTTTTAAAATCTGAAATTATGAAATACAAATTACCACCATGTAATATTTAACCTGTTTATCATATCTTATATATTACCATTAATAAAGACCTTGATGGATTTTTGAAATGCTAATTCCAATAAGCAAAAGCATATGTATTTGCTTAAGCAGGAAATCACACCCTGACCTTATCTTTCAATACCGGCTATATCTGCCTTACCTGATATGAGATTTTCTACATTGCATGTCTTTGATTTTAATTCTTCTAAGATCCGTTTGTTGTCCTCTTCCAGACGTTCTATCCTTGCTTCCAGCGATTTCACCATTCTCACCATTGTTGTCCTCATTCGTTCTAACATGGCTTGTTCCATGAAAGCGTACTTCTTTTCTTCTCCAATCAGCTGTGAATGTCCAAACGTCTCCAAATGAATTAAAACGCACGTGAAGAAAACTGAACTGTATTTGTTATTCATTTTAATGACTGTGATGATTTCTATACACCGTGTCACTAAAATCTCTTGTTATGAGCTATACGGATACGTTTAGTCTTATACAAACCCATGGGTTTTCACAGAGTAGTTACTTCCTAGGCAGACCTGTTTCCTGAAGCTAGGGATTAAATGAGCTGGGTCCACGTTGTATTGTCGTCAGCTGATAAGTGTCCGGTGCATTTTTGTATTTCATAATTACGCATTTCCTCAATAAAGATAATATGGATTTGTACAGTCTGCACACGGTATAATCTTATCAGTGAAATTGACACGTTCGAAATTTAACCTGATCAAAGTGTTTATCGCTGAAATATGTAAACAAGTGATCGGTTTGTCCTTGATTATGTATGTTTGACCTTCATTAAGACCTTCACTATAGTCGATGTCACTTTCCATAAAGTATATTTGACATCAACAAAGACAGTCACTAAAGTCGGTGTCACTTTTAATAAAGTCCCTGTCACTTTTAATAAAGTCGATGTTACTTTCACTAGAGTCTATGTGTCTTCCACACTGAAGTCGGAGTGACTGTCATTATAGCCGGTGTGACCTTCAATTAAGTCGCTATGACCTCTACTAAGACATTCACTAAAGCCGATGTGACCTTCACAAAATTCGCTGTGACATTCACTTAAGTCTGTGTATCCTTCACTAAGAACTTCATTTGAGTCGGAGTGACGTCATAAAGAAGCTGTGACCTTCAATTAAGTAGATTGGACCTTCACTTTAACCTTTACTAAGGTCGGTGTGACCTTAACTAAAGTCTATGTGTCTTTCACTAAAACCTTTACTAAGGTCGGTGTGACCTTAACTAAAGTCTATGTGTCTTTCACTAAAACCTTTACTGAGGTCGGTGTGACCTTAACTAAAGTCTATGTGTCTTTCACTATAACCTTTACTGAGGTCGGTGTGACCTTAACTAAAGTCTCCGAGAATCTATACTAAAACTTTTGTGGCCTTCACTTCAGTCGGGTCTTAAACTGAATGACTGAATAAGCCTTTGTTGTATATACACTACATCCCTTTACTTTTGTTTAAAACATCGTTACTGATTGTCAGTTTACTTGCTGGTATTACAGTACCAGGTTTGAAAACAGGATATCATTACAATTTCACAATAAGTAATTATCTATAGGTTTCACATAAAGTGTATCATTAATCTTCAAATTTAAACAAGTATATATTAATGTTGATACATGAACATAGATAACGTTCTCAAAATTAGCGAGTTTTAGTTGTAAAAAATGAGATAGGATCGACGTAAAATGTTCAGACATATAGATCTCATCTGTGTAAAATGTTCAGACATATAGATCTCATCCGTGTAAAATGTTGAGACATATAGATTTCATCTGTGTAAAATGTTCAGGCGTATACATCTCATTCCTGTAAAATGTTCAGACGTACACATCTCATTCCTGTAAAATGTTCAGGCGTATTGATCTCATCCGTGTAAAATATTCAGACGTATAGATCTCATTTCTGTAAAATATTCAGACGTATAGATCTCATCTGTGTAAAATATTCAGACGTATACATCTCATTCCTGTAAAATGTTCAGACGTATACATCTCATTTCTGTAATATGTTCAGACATATAGATCCCATCCGTGTAAAATGTTCAGACATATAGATCTCATCCGTGTAAAATATTCAGACGTATAGATCTCATCCGTGTAAAATGTTCAGACGTATAGATCTCATTTCTGTAAAATGTTCAGACGTAAAGATCTCATCCGTGTAAAATATTCAGAGTATAGATCTCATCCGTGTAAAATATTCAGAGTATAGATCTCATCCGTGTAAAATATTCAGACGTATAGATCTCATTCTTGTAAAATGTTCAGACATATAGATCTCATCCGTGTAAAATATTCAGAGTATAGATCTCATCCGTGTAAAATGTTCAGACGTATTGATCTCATCCGTGTAAAATATTCAGACGTATAGATCTCATCCGTGTAAAATGTTCAGACGTATAGATCTCATTTCTGTAAAAAGTTCAGACGTATAGATCTCATCCGTGTAAAATATTCAGACATATAGATCTCATCCGTGTAAAATATTCAGACATATAGATCTCATCCGTGTAAAATATTCAGACATATAGATCTCATCCGTGTAAAATATTCAGACATATAGATCTCATCCGTGTAAAATATTCAGACGTATAGATCTCATCCGTGTAAAATATTCAGACATATAGATCTCATCCGTGTAAAATATTCAGACATATAGATCTCATCCGTGTAAAATATTCAGACGTATAGATCTCATCCGTGTAAAATGTTCAGACGTATAGATCTCATTCTTGTAAAATGTTGAGACATATAGATCTCATCCGTGTAAAATATTCAGACGTATAGATCTCATCCGTGTAAAATGTTCAGACGTATAGATCTCATATCTGTAAAATGTTCAGACGTATAGATCTCATCCGTGTAAAATGTTCAGACGTATAGATCTCATTCCTGTAATATGTTAAGACATATAGATCTCATCCGTGTAAAATGTTCAGACGTAAAGATCTCATTCGTGTAAAATGTTCAGACGTAAAGATCTCATTCTTGTAAAATGTTGAGACATATAGATCTCATCCGTGTAAAATATTCAGACGTATAGATCTCATTTCTGTAAAATGTTCAGACGTATAGATCTCATTTCTGTAAAAAGTTCAGACGTATAGATCTCATTCCTTTAAAATGTTGAGACATATAGATCTCATCCGTGTAAAATATTCAGACGTATAGATCTCATCAATGTGAAATATTCAGACGTATTGATCTCATTCCTGTAAAATGTTCAGATGTATACATCTCATTTCTGTAATATGTTCAGACATATAGATCCCATCCGTGTAAAATGTTCAGACGTACACATCTCATTCCTGTAAAATGTTCAGACGTATAGATCTCATCCGTGTAAAATGTTCAGACGTATAGATCTCATTTCTGTAAAATGTTCAGACGTATAGATCTCATCCCTGTAAAATGTTCAGACGTATAGATCTCATTTCTGTAATATGTTCAGACGTACACATCTCATTCCTGTAAAATGTTCAGACGTATAGATCTCATCCGTGTAAAATGTTCAGACGTATAGATCTCATTTCTGTAAAATGTTCAGACGTATAGATCTCATTTCTGTAAAATGTTCAGACGTATAGATCTCATTTCTGTAAAATGTTCAGACGTATACATCTCATCCGTGTAAAATGTTCAGGCGTATAGATTTCATCCGTGTAAAATATTCAGATATATAGATCTTATCCGTGTAAAATATTCAGAGTATAGATCTCATTCCTGTAAAATGTTCAGACGTATAGATCTCATCCCTGTAAAATATTCAGACATATTGATCTCATCCCTGTAAAATGTTCAGACGTATAGATCTCATCCCTGTAAAATGTTCAGACATATAGATCTCATCCGTGTAAAATATTCAGACGTATTGATCTCATCCGTGTAAAATGTTTGTAAAACCAAGTTGAGACATTCTGAACTCTTTAATGGAATGAGAAAAGTTGTTATATTTTCATGGGTTTAGGGTCAAGGTCACTTTTTTTCTAATTTTTTTTTTTTTTTTTTTAGAAATTCTAGTCTGCATTCTTTCTACTATATTCGTGCTAGGAATTTGATCAAACGTCACATTCTTATGAATAGTCATAATATCATAAACAAGTTAGGGTGTCAAAGTTGAAAGGTCAAGGTTAAGGTATGTTAATTCTTGATCCTGGTACCCAGCCCGATACACAACTTAACATCATTCAAGTTTTCTTGGAGACTTCAATTCACAGGGAAGATGGATACTGGGTCAATATGTCTGATATTCGATCTTTATTCGTCTTGAAGCTCTGTTAATTTCACGTTCTCAGATATCTATAACAGTGTCATATTAGTTCTGAATTTTTAGCAGTATGATTGATGATAAATTGTGGTAACTTGAGGTCATTGATAATGACAGAAGTATTCTACTGGTACACAATCGCTGCATTGTCAAAACAGATGATAACAGTGATATACAGACGACATCAACCACAAGACTATCCAAACAGTAGTACACAGATACTGATACAACCAAGTCACACATAGTATTTTATTACATGGCGTTGTAAAGTGCTCCTCAGATCGATTATTGATTCTAATGTTAATTGAATTTCGAAATTTATCCTTCCCTATGATTTACCATTAAGGTGTTATCAAAACCTTTTCAATGGTAATACAATAGATGCTCCGGTTTGGTCCACATTGAAATATTCTTTGATTAACTTGAAAATCGGCATAGGATCATTTAAGTGACAGGAGATACAGATTTGAATATATCGGTTGTCATGGGTACCAATTAAGGGTATCTTTTGGGAGGTATTCTAGTTTAAACAAGATTTCAAAAACATAAACAATATTCAACTGAATTACTCACATCTTGTTCTGACAGTTCCTGTGCGCCTATGAACCTATTTCAATATATATGCAGATGAGCATGCACATTTTGAAACTCACCTGGCCTGAGGGGCCAAGTCAGCTAATGCTGTGTTACAGTATCTGTCTGTCGTCCGTCCGTCGTCAATACTTTTCTCTAATCACCTCTTAATAAATTCATTATTTAATTAATTAATCAGTAACCCAGTGGTCAACAGTCATCATATTCAACTGATAACTGGAACGAGGCTTTCTGATTTTTTTTTTCAAAACCAAATGACATTGACCTATATTCAGGGTCACAGGGTCAGATCTATGCAAATGATCTGAAAACGTCTGGGCTAAAGCCAAGTAAGGTTTACAAAAAGAAAAAGAAAACACCTCGAACCAAGTTCAAGGTTACAGGAGTCAAATTTATTGAAAACTTCTATAAATTCATCTGATTACCTAAACGGCCTAGAATCATGATATTTGTTTGTTCATAGCTCAGTTTACTCTAATTGGCCCAAAAATGCTGGTACAGAATGCTGAATCTGAGGAGCGTGGTTCCCGTGGAGGTTTGTGTTTCGTATGGAGCTACGTTCACGAATAGTCCTTAGCTGGATCCTTTGCC